AAAAATATTAGTTTATTTCCTTTCTTGATTAAAAAAACTGGTTCCAGCAGCATGACATTTCCTATGAAGAAACTGTTGGCTTTAGCAAGAGCTACAGAGCCCTGATTTTGCCCAGCTGAAAACTGACAGTGCTCTAGTTCTAGCTGGATTTAGGGCACTGACTCTTTCATTTACAAACTTGGTTTATTTGGTGTTTAAGTAGTATCACAGACTCATAGAATGGTTTGGGGTAGAAGGGACCTTAAAGATCATCTAGTTCCAACCCTCCTGCCCTGGACAGGAACAGATTTCACTATATAAATGCACATATTTATCAAAGTTCAACAGTCTTTTTAACCTCAATAATGGAGTTGGATTTAGTGATTAAAATGAACAACTCCAGTACAACTTGCATTAAACTTGGTTTAATATATAGTGACATAAGTCAATATGGATTCCTGCATTCCAGGGTCTCACTAAGACCTGACACCATCCTGAATCCTTCCTTAACAAGTTTTAACCTGCTGACCAGCATTTGTTTCTCAGAGTCTCCAAAGTTGCTGCTGCAATAGATCTTCTGATAAAGGAAACATGGGTGAAGCTGCATTACAAGACTTCAAGTGTCTAGTGCCAAAGCAGAGATACAGTAGGAGCTCTGGTCCAAGGATATTCCAAGTTAAGCTCAGAGGAAAGCAGAATCCAAACTTTCAGCCTCAGCTAACCAGAACATGCAGGCTTTTCCTGGCATTTCCCAGAAAAAAAAAACACCATGACCTACCGTTAGAGATAATCTCTCCTATTTTTCCAACAATTCTTGGGAATGCCAGAAAAACACAACCAGACAGATCTTAGGCATAGAAGTAGCAGCAAGAAATCAATGAACAGCCAGGTTTTGAGTACCAATAGTAAGAATTTATTTCAGGTATTCTGTTTAGCTATTTAAAGCATTCTGTGTTGTCCAATATACCCCCTATATAGTGAACTATTGCCTTTCCTGGTAGGATCAAAACTTGGTTTTCAGTGTTTTCATTATTTTCCCAATGTCAGCAAGCAGAATGGAATAGTTTCTACAGCTTTACACTCAGTAGAAAATTTTCATTACTTTTGGTAACTCTTCGTCAGTTATTAGCGGTTTCCTCTGGCTGCCAGGCTGCAGGAATTTCTTTATTGTGGGGATATTGCTTATTCTTGCTTTGAAACTCTACAAAACAAAATCAAAACAGCACAGTGCTTAAGAATCATTTCAGCTGTCAGATATCTCAATGTTATCTGTGCCCTGAAAGACACATTACAGCTTGATGCTGCAGAAGAAACTTTATGCTTCCCCCTTTTTTGTCTTCGGGATTATAACAAGATACCACAAATACAAAAACGAGTAGCCAAGGCCAGCTACAGTACGTGGGACATTTTACTATTTTTCAAGTCACTTCTGACTCTCTCACTCCCACATGTTTTTCAGCCACTTTAAATCAGCAGTCCTTTCCTTTCATTCTATATTCAAATTGCCCATTCATTTACCTGCAAGAGAGGAAATTTGGCAAGTATATCGGGTTTGTACTCCTCTGCCATCAAAATGACTTCAAGCAATTGAACATCTGCCCTGCTCAGCTGGTTGCCAACCAGAAAGCCTTTTCCATGGCCTTTCAAAACCTAAAAACAGAGAACAGAAGCAGATCATGTCTCTTCTCTGTTAATAAAATATAAAATAACATATAAATATATAAAATATAACTTTTTCTGTTCTTCTCTCATAAAAAATATATCTTCAAAGCAGGGTCACACATTGCACAGAGTTGTCAGTGAAAGAAGGAAATGCAGTTCAAACACCTGCAGTACAAACAATGATCTGAAGGCACTGCCATCCCAGGCATCATCTATCAGCTCTTTCACTTCTACATTCCTGTCTGGCAGCTCACTTGGGTTCATCTTGCCTTGCCTGCTGTAGCTGCACTGAAGGCTCAGCTGTATGAGATACAGGAGGAACTGCAATGCTTTTACACAGTATATGTATGGTACAGGGCCATTTGCATTTCAGGAGGAACCTTGCTGTCAAAGCTGGAGCTGTAGAGTCTCTTGTGTGAAACAACACACACACTGAAATATGGACATTTGGGGAGCTCTGTGTGTGCTGGGTTTTTGCAGCTGTACATCTCTCCCAGATTGGAAGTGCCTTCTGTCCCCTCTGTAGTTTCCTGTCTCCACCTTAATCCCAGCACCACTAAAAACCAGAGCATTGATTTTCCAGGTGTAGCTTCTCTTTTGTTTTCCTCCATTAAACTAGTGTGCTTCCAGGATGGAGGTTCAAGGTAACAGCATCAATTGAGCTACTAGCTCTTTGCACATACCTTCTCAAAGGCTGGGAAGTATCTGTTTTCAGTCTTGTCCATCATATTTGCAAAATGTGCCTGCCTTTTGTCTGGTGGTAGGTAGCCATATTCCATGAGTAACTCATTCAGATCAAACATTCCTTCCACATACATATCGATTCTGAAAGGAAGAGATCCATTTGGTCAGGTCACACAGTAGATCTGAACAGCACTATAACTCCTGGCACAACCTCACTCAGATGCTGGGAAATCCCTGCCCCTTCTATCCCACACACACACACATACCCTGGCAAAGTTCCCCCTGGAATGCAGTTGCACTGGGGCCAGGCAGGGAGGGAGCTTCAGCCAAAGGCAAATGCAAAATTCCTAGGGAAACCTAAAGACTGTAGGACTCCCACTTCTTACTGGGACTGATTCCTGTCTGGAATATGGGTTGGTGAAACTGATTACAAAACTGTCATGTGTACCATGAAGACTCGTGTTAAAAATCCAATAAGACACCCTAAGGTTTACAGCAGGTCCATACCATTTCTAGCAAATATCTTGACACATGTGTTTACTAGGGCTTATTATACTGGAGAATTCAGTAATACCTCAGGTGAAAACATGAGCCCTAGGAGTCCTCTGCTTTAATAACCTGTAATTAAATCTCTACTCATTCCTGGTTATTAGAGAGAGAAGGGTTTTAGTTCCCTTAAAAGACATTGCCCTGAGTGTGAGGAGGGTAAAATGATGCTGCTGACAACTGCAGGAGAAAATGAAATTCAGCATCAGTGGGACAATCTGCCCCCCCGACTGCTTTCTTCTCATAAGTGCATGGACCTCTGACTGATGATTCCTGGGCTCGCTTGCCCTATGGAATCCAGCTGGCTCTCTCTGCTGTAGACATCAGCTGCAGTCACAGTGATCTCGTGCACTGCTGCCCTCTCCCACTGAATCGAGCTGGGAGCTGGATACCCTTGTGTTTCCCTGAGCTACAGGGTGAGCTGGGGTCTAACAAGCAAAGGTGGTACTGTTACAGTACAGGGCTCTCTCCTTCA